TCCTATTTCAATTTCTGCCCAATTAAAATTCATGCTGGAACAAGAAAAGATAGGCTTCTGACTACTTCTAAAGTATGACCAAGGCCAAAGACATGTGATTACTATACGACAGTTTTAAGGAAAAACAATTAACTGGCAGGGGAAAAAAAATGAAGACCTAATCAAAGGAAAAGTATAAGAATAATTTTATCATCTGGGTATACTGCAGATATTCACACATTTTTATGCAGATTTTGTTTACCTAGCAAAGAATACCACAAAGTTTTATTCTATCCACAACTTGTGCTTGAAGAACACATTTCCTAAGTGAGCCAAGAGAGGCCAAAAGGACATGAAGGCAGAACAGGGCAGATTATTTGCCTTCCCTGCTTGCACGTCAGCTTTTTCCTAAAATTTTATACTGGTAAAACAGAAAAACTGCAGGGATTAGAATATAGCTGCATATATTCCTTAATAGTAAAGCTGACCTGCTGAACTAGCAAAGTGTCTAATACCTTTATGCCACCTCATCCCAGCACAGGGGAGGAAAAATTATGCTGTTGCAATAAGTTGCTCAAGAGTCTCCAGAGTAGCCACTGATTTGGGGTATGTCTTCACTGCAAAGATAGCTTAGGCTAGGACTTGGGTGCTGCCCCCTCCCTTATTCAAATACAGAAACCACACACCTGAATTTGGTGGTATTGTAAACCCAAGCTACCTGGCTTGGCTTTGGACAAAGCCTAGAACTCAAGGACTGTTTGCATGTCAGGAAAGAGCCACCCCCTTTGTAACTAGGATGTAGGGTTAATCACTGGAGTGCTGACAGCCCTCCCAAACCTTCCCACAACTTCTCCCCCTGCCCAGGACAGGTGCTGTCACTGGGAAATAATCAATACCTCAGCTTCTTGCAGGACCAAGCATCATGCAGTGTGTCCACAAATGCCCCAGCAATACAAGGTGAATGTGGTATTAATGAGGACACAATAACTCAGGCCCAACTACAGTGGGGCTGCTCACACCCAGATGCGAGTGCCAGTCTCCCAAGCTAACCCTGCTGTGAAAACATATCCTTGGTGTTTGTCAGGGGAACAGAGATACTAGTTTAATTAGCCTGTGTGAGTGATAGCAGATGACAGCTCCTGCAAAATGCGGAGCTGCCCTAGTCAAAGAAAGGAGCTAATGAGGTTTATTTCAACCAGAAAACGCTGTGCAGCCTGACAAGAAAAAAAAAAAAAAATGCCGTTTCCTGGCATTTCAGTATATGGATCTTAAAGGTAACTCATTCTCCAGAAGGTAAGTATCAGTGCATATAATAGAAGTTAACAAAGAAAGGATTGTGCTATAGAAAGTATATCCAAGCACTCAGATAACAGCCAAGCCAATCCCTTCATTCCATTCAGATATTTTTATTTAACATCCGCAGTACGCTCTGCACAGAGGTTGCTATTTCATGGAAAGACGGAGACAGGCGGAAATGTAACCAGCCCCACAACATTCTCTTGCAAACTTCAGCAAAGTTTTTCTCACATATTTAAAATAAAATGACTCCAACTTTAGGCAGTAGCTGGTTGGTAACAGTTTGCTATTACACAGGTCCTGCTTTGGCAGAACTGGAGGAAAATAACGTGACGCCAATCATTAATGCTATACAATGAAGGCAGAGGGAATCTAAGCTCTGAAAACCTTCCAATTCTAACAGAAGCACTTTCATGTTCCTGCTCAAAGCAGTGAGAAGTCTGCTCAGGGGGACAGCCAGCATTTGTCAGTTCTCCCAAGTTTTGCATCTCACTGAAAAGTAATGAGATAAGTAAAGCCCAAATAACCGAGCAGGGCATACTTAGTTCAAAATACTGTATGAAACCCATGAAACTGGCTTCTAAAAATAAAACAGCTTTAGCAAGCAGGACAACAAATCGAAAGATCTCTTATGTTGAATGATGAAGTTATACTTGCTAGACATTTTTGAAAGGAGTCACTGCCTAACAACTCTTTTCGGACGTGGTTGCTACTAGTACAGTCCTACTCCCAGCACAAATAGGGGCTTAAGTTATGACTGAGATTTTTGAAGCTTGTTTGATGCAGGCAATTAACTCCCAATGATGTTCCAAGAGACCTGGATGCCTAAGCTCTAGTCTTTCCAAAGCATGATGTAAAACCATGAAGAAATCTCTTCAGTCCCCCCCAGAGCAAGACCTAGTGATCCCCATTTCTAGGGAGTTTTGTCCAGCAGTATTTTAGTAAAGAAAGTGTAACGGTCCCATGCATTATGATTAGTACAGACAGCCTGACATTAGACAAACCTGCACAAAGAAAGAAGGAAGAGCCATTTTAAAATACTTCCTTACTTTTTGTACATAAAGACTTTTGCTAACATATCCTACCAGTTCTGCCCTTAAATAGCAGCAACAGTCAGAAGACGAGTGATGAAAAATGTTAGATGGAAAAAATCCTAGACAAGGCCAAGAAATTACCTATATTTATAAAGCTAAATGTTATCAAACAGCAAATACAATGACTGCCACCAACAAAGAATGTGTTCGTGTTTATTACTAACAAATCCATTTTTGTAAACGTCTGGTGGTTTGGAGAGATTAAACCTTCAATCTGACCTTTAGACTAGGAGTTTTGAGACAAGACAGTCTTATGATTTACCACTAGACTTATCAGTGTCTCAGAGATACTTCCTAAAACTTTATAAATAAAAGAAGAGCCTTCATGGCTACTATTATTACATTTAGATTATATTGCATTGTCACCTAAACACTGAAGGAAAATAAATAAATAAATAAATAAATAAATAAAAAATCACTCATATATATCACTGCCAGTTGTGAAACTATTTCAGTCCCTAGCATTTAAGCCCCATTTAGCTTTGGGTAAAACTGTTCTAAAAGTCACCTGAAGTGGGAGAAGGAAGACAAAATACTTTGCATTGTTCAGCCCGGGGTCACTGAATGATTATGTAGCACCTTTAATGGTGTCCAAAGGAAGCATATATTATGGAGTATACACAAAGAAATACAGCACCATTAACAAACGCACAATTCAACTGATCACGCATCCATACAACATATGTGGCTTTATACTGAACACACAGATGCCAGTGCCAAATATTTATTTCAGAACTGAAAACAATACTCAGTCCTGCCATAAAGTCCTAGGGCAGTGTTTCCTGACTTTTTTTTTTAAACATAAGGCTCCCCTTGGAAAATGCCAGCTCTTAACTTTCACTTGTTTCTTGAGTCCAGAAAAAAAGAAACATTTCTGCTGCAAAGAACTCAGAAGATCACAACAGATCAGGATGTTTCTGACAGTGTGGATTCATATCTGAAATCTCTGGGTTTATCTGGTGCATAAGATGTAGGCATCTGCACGTCTAACGGTGCTAATATTGCACAGCACCACAGAATCTGCAACACCCTGGTTGAGAATCACTGGCCTAGGGGCAGCATCAGAATCCTAGGAGCTTTCAGACTATCCCCCCAGAACTAAGAGAAAAATGTACACAGCATATATAGTATACAGTGCTCAGTACCTTACTGGGCCTAACTATATACTAGGACATTGAAATGCACACAGAATTATATAGCAGGTGCTTGTCTATCTCCAGTTTTGGATGGAATAACAATGGGTCAAAGAATTGGAGCTAGACTGTTTTCAGGGGTGACAGATGACAAACCAAGGAGCAATGGGCTTAAGTTGCAGCAAGGGAGTTTTAGGTTGGATATTAGGAAAAACTTCTCACTAGGAAGATGGTTAAACACTGGAACACATTACCTAGAGAGGTGGTGGCATCTCCATCCCTGGCGGTTTTTAAGGCCCAGACTGACAAAGCCTTGGCTGGGATGATGTAGTTGGGACTGGTCCTGCTTTGAGCACGGGGTTGTGACCACCAACCCTAATTTTCTACAGTTTCTATGATGAACTGCACCAGCATAGTAAGGAGGTAAGTGTTCACATGACACGCTTTGAAATATACTTTTGAAATGATTTAATGAATGCTATTGGTTTAATTAAATCCAAGAGGTTGCTGGTTGTTTTGCTGTGAGGGGCCCTGCAAAAAGACCCCAACTATATCTTCCTACACCATCAAATCAATACCAAACAGCCTTTAAACTGCATTATGAAATGGAAATATTCAGAGGTATACACCTCCGGTAGACACCGTCTTGTATTGTAACGTATCAGCGCATGACAATCAATTCTGAAGCTATCTGAAAGTCAAACGTTTATGGACAGGTATACCGCCTTTCATCCTGACAGCAGCAGCGATTTAACAATATCACACACAACCCAGCTGTACTTTTCCCAACCAAAACATATGATTTATGAACACAACCTATGATTTGACTGCGTATAAGCGACAGCTTTCCCACAGCTGAGACCACCTTGAGATTTCATTCAATCCTGATGTTACAATGATACACTTCTGCCTTCCTCCTGCTGCTCCGGGACATCCCAAGCTCCCCAGCAAGATGCTCGTTCACGCACAGTCACTCAGGGAAATGCTTCACAAGAAACTTTCTAAAGCTACATTTAGACTCGAGCAGCTTCCTCGGCATCCTGGCCCCCACAGTTCGACCGGACCATTTTCTTCTCAGATAAGCCCGTCCTCCGTGCCTCGTTACTGGCTTTCCGTCGGGGTCCCCCCGAGACGGCTCATCAATAATCCACTAGAAACTATTGAGTGGTGACATCCAAGTCCTTTTCATCTTAAATAAACCGACGGACAGGAGATACAGGGGACTACAGCGAGGGGATACGACGGAAGCAGTTTAATTACATCTGAACCTATTTCCGTCAGGCGCCCACCTCCCCACCACACGCAGTCCTGGGGGTCTCCCGCAGACAAGGCTCCCCCCCTCACCACGGCCTTCTGCTCCCTTCCTCCTCTCCACCGCGGCCTGCACCTTCCCCGCCAACGTCCCTTTTCCCGCACCCGCCGGAGGGGGGTGGTGGGGGGCTGAGGCCTCCAGGCACAGGCTGCAGAGGAGCCGGAGACGGCCCCGGCCCCGGCTCACCTCGTCCTCCTTGTGGTTGCGGATGCCGCGCACCAGGTCCTGCAGGTTTTTGTCGAACATGCGGTCGATGCTACCCTTCACCATCTTCAGCGCCATCGCGGCGGCGGCGGGGCCTGCGCTCGGGCGGGGGGGGAGAGCCGGACCCGGCCGGGGGTTGCTGCTGTCGGGTGTCTGCAGGCGGAGCGCTCACATCCCGGACGCCGCCAGACGGCCCGAGCCCGCAGGGTAGTGGGGAAGCAGAAAGCGGCGGGGAGAACCGCTAACGGTGGCTGCAAGCTCCGCTCGGCCTCCGAAACCCGACAAAATGGCGGCCGGTCAGCTGAGGCCTCAGCCCCGCCCCCAGATCTGGCCACGCCCACTCCGCCCTTGCCCTGTCAGCCTCTTAGCCGGCCTCCACCCCCTGCGCCCTAGCCCCGCCCCCTCGCCTTCTAGCCCCGCCTCTTTTCTACGTGGGTAGGCGTAACTGTTCCCTCTGGCTCGTAGCCCCGCCCCCTCAGAAATCTGGCTTCACGCGTCACGTGGTTGCCGGCGCCTGCGGGGGGGGGGGCACGTGATCGCTTGGAGGAACGCCCTAGCTTACGTAGCTGCTGAGGGGGGTCGGCACCAGGGTTGTGGCGCGAAGCTACAGCTGCGGGGCAGCGTTATCGTGCAGATGTGAGGGTAGCGCGTCCTCCTCGGCACGGGGATGGGAGAGCTAGGGAAGGGCCCTAAGAAGCAGGAGCGCTTCCCAGGCGCTTCCTGAGGAGAGACAGGCAGGGCTGGGCCTGTTCCCTTGGGAACAGAGCTACTGGAAGGGGGCATGAGGGGCTTACAACAGTGGCTTCCTTCCAAGCTAGGGCCTGCATGTAGGATGTCTGCCAAAAGATTTTGGAAATATCTGAAGCCCCAGGTCGGGGTGGAAGCTGTTTGCCGGTAGTAGGGCCGCTTATGGCTCTGGACAGCCTCACGGATTTGGGCTTGATTTGCCCTGGAATATGAAAAAATTCTTAAAAAAAAAAAAAAAAAAAAAAAAAAAAAAAAAAAAAAAAAAAAAAAAAAGTTCCCAAACTGGGGGTCATGACCCTGAATTTGGTGGCAACATCAGCAGATGGGGCAGTGGGTTGGGAGTGAAGGGGTCATAAATGGGGTCATCTGAGGAAAAGCTTGGGCAATACTGGCTTCTCACATGGACTCATAGAAAAAGAGCTGGAAGAGATGTCAGGAGGTCACATCTGGTCCAGCCCCCTGCTCAAAGCAGGACCAGTCCCAACTACATCATCCCAGACAAGGCTTTGTGTAGCCGGGTCTTCAAAACCTCCAAAGACGGAGACTCCCATCACCTTTCCAGTGTTTCACTTTCCTAGTGAGAGAGTTTTTTCCTAATATCCAACCTAAATCTCCTTTGCTGCAACTTGATCCTGTTGCTCCTTGTTCTGTCATCTGCCACCACAGAACAGTCCAGATCCATCCAATTTGGATCTCTCCTTCAGGGAGCTGAAGGCTGCTATTAAATCCCCCTTCAGTCTTTTCTTCTCCGAACTAAATAAGCCTAGTTCCCTCAGCCTCTCCTCAGAAGTCATATCCCCAAGGCCCCTAAAACATTTTTGTTGCCCTCTGCTGGACTCGCTCCAATTTGTCCACATGCTTTTTGCAGTGGGGGGCCCAAAACTGGGTACAGGACTCCAGATACGGCCTCCCCAGTTCTGAATAAAGGAGAGTAATCACTTCGCAAATGTAACAGTGAAGAGAAAATTCATAGGGATTTAAAATTGATTCTCTCCCAAGACGAGCAAAGAATCACAACACAGAAGAGGAAGCAGTCCATTTAAAAAGAACACAAGGCAGACATTTTTCCACCCAGCGTGTCATTAAAGGGGGGAACCCATTGCCATCAGATGTGGTAGAAGTTGACCATTGAGCCAGATTCTATATGGACTTGGGCGCATTCTTGGAGGAAAGGGGCATTAGTCGCCATTGATGGGTATGACCTCTGAATCATAACTTCCTAGACCCTAAATGCTGGAGGCTGCAACTGAGAGAGGAACAATGGGAAAAACCTGTAGTCAGATGCAGACAAAACTCTCGGGCTAAAGGTGATATCTTTTATTAGAGCAACTAAATAGTAGCAAAAAAAAAATTCTTTGCAAGCTTTTGGGTCCAAACATCCTTCGTCAGGCAGAGGGTAAAAGTTCTCCCAGGTAGAAAAGAAACTTCATCTTGCACAGGGGAGGTAAAGGATGGTGTGGTTCCCCTGGCTTTCAAAGACCATTTTTTAAAAAAGTTGCTGTGTGAATATGCAGGTTAGGCAGGGACAAAGCTCTAGCAGGTTTCTTCCCTGAAGCTGTCAGATGTCAGGCGGGGAGTTGAATTCTGCTTATTTCCTGTATAGCAATGGAGTTTACATTTCACTCTCCCTTTGAGCATCTCTTCTTTGCTGCTGTTGACACAGGAGACTGGGCTAGATGGACCTACAGTCCCATGGGCTGTATATTTGGCAACCCCTCTCCCAGTAAAGGATTACTCTTACCCCCTTTCAAGTCAAAAGAAAAGCTCATATTTATTTGAATGGGTGAGGAACAAGCCTTGGAGGATTGTGAAGGCTCTTGGTTGGAAGAGAATCTGTAGTGAATCCTCTAGGATGGTGCTTCTCAACCAGGTGCGACTAGATGTTTTAAAGGGTGCTGTGAGGTGTGAGGAGATAAGTGAGGTGTTAAGAGATAAGCAGATAATTAAGCATATAAGCACAGGCTCAGGCTTGTCCCTGCCTGGATGATCCTCCCCTTCACTGCCAGATCCCTCTGCAAGGAGGTAAGCCCTGTAATCTGTAAATTAGTTTTTGAAATTCACTCAATTCACAAAAGTTATAGTGGGGTGCTTCAAGTCCAGTGAGGGGTGGCTCAAGTTCAGAAATGCTGAGAACCATTGCTTGAGGAAAATCAGAATTCACATTCCTTAAGAATGTGACCTGAAGAAGAATGCATTGTATTCAAAAGGGTTTCTAAGTCTGTGCTAACTGTACAGCTGGTCCAGTGAAAGATACCAGCCCCAAAAATCCATTCCTGCTATTCCTAATATTTAACAATGATGGGACTAAAATGGACCCAGTGTTTCTTTGGTTGTGTAGATCACAGTTAAACATATAAACTGCAGACTACACAATTTAGGTGCAGAACTCAATCTGGGTTTCAAATGCCCCAAACTCTGAGGACCTAGGGGATTTGGGTCCTGTCAGAATTGGGCCATGGACTTTCCTATTTGCTTCAGCCCATTCTGAAGATGAGAGCCAGAACCAAAATCTTAGAGCCCTCCATCTCCAAACTTTGGAGGGCTTAAAATCTGCTTGGGAACAGCCTTAATTAAGATGCTAATCCTAACTGTAATCATTGTTATTTGTCAACATCCAAGGACCTTCCCCTTCGCAGCTCTGGGTCACATTGTACCTATCTAATGTTAGCGCCGATGTTATGTTATAAATAACGTCACCTTCTGATTTTGCTGACATAACTTTCTAGCAAGCATTCTCTGGAGATAAATGCAAAGCATTAATGTCAGTACAGTATCTCCTCTCACCTCCCTCCCATCCTTTTCATATTTCAGTTACAGGTTCCAGTATGAGCAATTCAGCATTTGTAGGAAGACTCTAAGTCTTGCTGTTATAACTCAGTGGAAAAAAGATACCAAATGCATAATGAGCCCTGGTTTTCTATTTCTCAGGATAATGGGAACATCAAAAGCATGACAATTATAAACCATTAATTTTCTGATAGAGATGGGCCTGAGTTAGTGCATTTAGATCCTAATCCAGTTTCTTTCCCAAGTTCAAGAACATATGGCCTCCATCTTTTGGTTCAAGGCCATATCTTATATTGTGTATGTAGTATGAAAATTCCACCTTGAAGATCAGATTGGATCTTAGCTTTAATTTAAATTAAACACCAGTCTTTAACCAATAAATAAATAACGATCAGTTAACTGCAAGAGGCAAATTATCCTGGCCTCTTGCATATTGCTTGAACTATCACACATATAACATCACTCCGACACTACCACTCAGTTAACTAAGTAGTTTGAGCAAATAATTCATATATGATTTATTAAAACAAAGGATCAGATAAATTAGAACTAAGAAATTCACATAAGAAAAGGCTGATGAGGTCCCAGTTGGATTGGTTTGCAATATTTCAAATGTTGCTATTTTGATTTAGAAGCGGGGAGAGGAGGGGAATAGATATAGCTTCTGCTATAGTTTTCCCCATGTTTTGACCCATAGTCCCGTATAATCCCTCTGTTCATCCGTTTCAAAATGATTCTCTATACTTTCCTATCTGGACCTTTCTCCAGTCTAGCTTAAAATGGACCAGATGACTTTATCAGTTATGTAAATTGATATCCCCACGTAACCTGATGTGCAGGAAAGAACATGAAAGCAGCAATATTAGGACTGAAGGTCAAAATGTGATCTTCCACAAAAGCTGCATTAGGGCTGTCATCCAACAAACCACTTAAACATGTGAGCAACTTTAGCAATGCAAGCAGACCCATGGCAGACAATAGGATTGCTCCCCTGCTTAGAGATACACACATCCTTAAGTGCTTTGCTGGTCCAGTGCCTAATTCCTTTGATAGGCCCTATTGAAAAATGTGTTGTATGATCACCATGACATGGTTAATTTCTAAAAGTCTGCTGCTTCTAGGAACAGTGAGTGTCCAACTCTCTGAGGCAGTTGACACGTGGCAGATGTTAGTCTCACAGCTTACCCGGTACTGGAAGGTGCTCGGGTATTACAGTGAGGAGCGTAGTATGCAAACTAGAAGAGAAGAGGTGATGGGACCTAGCACTAACCAAAGAGAGTTTCATTAACTCCTGTGGGCTCAGGCAGACATGCTGCTGTTACACAGGTGTCAGGCTTGGATAGAAGGGTTAAAAGAGGAAATAGTGCAAGTAGGACTTGGCTGAGGAGAGCAGACCTACAGCTGGGCCAAGGAACTGTCAGACAGTCAGAGTCCCCCTGAAGAAAGGCATGACAGGTATAGGACTGCTGCTGGTTTGAGTGGCTGCTGTCTGTCGGAGCCCCTCCTTGAGCAAAGCAATTCTCTGTGGAAGGTAGGCCAGCTTTTGAGACTCCTCTCCTTTTGTTTTGTTCCTGGGGATTTGCCTGTGGTTGGACTGAATGATGTCTGTCTGAAGGGGGTGATAGGTAAACCCCCCTTGTCTCTCTGCTTCACACAGTTGGCTTGGTAATTGTTTGCCATGAGACCTGGGGTGATGCAGGTCATATTGAACTTGCCTGCTGCTTGGGGATAGTCTATCTCAGTGGTGGGC